TTCGTGGTGTTTGCTCCGACCCTGGCTCTTCGGCATATGTCTTGATTACGGCCAGGTTGGATGAAGCTCCCCTCAGCTGGAGATAACGAACAGATTTCACCACGAACTCGCGCGCAGAGCCACATGGTATAAAACTCTATTTAATAACCCCTGGAGTATGAGTGTCAGAAGTTGACGACTGTTATTTAACCTAAACCATTTGTTTCATAAGATTGATTACCAGGGAAAATATGAGAGAAGAGAAAATTTGAATTGGTGTTCCCTAAACTGCATATATCCAATGGATAGGGGTGTGAGTTCGTGGTGAACTAATAATACTATGCGTATGTTAGAGCTACTACGTTAAGAATAGTTACCTCTGAAGCTTGAGCAATTCTCGATCCATTGCCCCAGTAATGTTTCCCCTTTTTAACCAGGGAACTTCCCACGTTAATTATCTCTCCGATGGCTTGGCCAAGGGTCCGGAGGCCGCCACGAGGCCAGGTTCCAGGACAGTGGATTACAGGTAGCTTCGGGATGTCTGGTGGTGCATTTTCCCCAGTAATGAGGATGTGCCGGACGAATTAACTCGAACTCTTTGATAGAGATTTTCATAATTTTCTACGCTGTGCATGATACAAATGGCCTTTGGAAGTTTTCGTTAGCTCTTCTGCGTATTTCAATGCCACAGCTATGACTAACTAATCAAATATCATGCAGTAATTTGTATGGAGTTCTCCGTACATTTATGTATGGGATATATATATACATCGCCACAGTTTCTCAACATCTATGTAGATTCAGTTCTATATTTTAACTTCAACACATCACCCACATAGAGAAAGAGCCTGGGGAATATGGATAAAAATCATCTCTCCGAAAGCTGTCCTGAAGATGTGTGAGACATATCTACGCGTAAGTTAGTAGTAGATGGATCCGCAAACGCCTCTGGCAGAACGGCCTAGTTTAAAAATTGGCGTTGGAGGCGTATTTAGTGCACAGACAGGCCCTATTCTAATTAAGAGCATTTAAAAACCTAGGATCCATCTACATAGTAGTTGAAATGTCCGTTAATGAACTTGTCAGCAGGTGAGCTTTATATGAACTATAATAACGGTAAGCCCTAACTAGCCGTTCGCTACTGGGATAAGGTAACTTAGCTTACTCCGTACTTAAAGCTCCAGATTTAAATGCTTGCCCTCTATATTTGTTTATTTCCGCCAAATATCTACATACACTAAATTATCCTAGCAGAGAATGAATCATGCTCATATGTGCATCTAAATTTGTATATATTTGTATATATTTGTATATTTATTTTGGCATGAAAATGCGAAGAAAAATACTGGTGACTTCGGGAAGTTGAAAATTCCCTTCTAGCTCCGGGAATTAGGGCTTGATCACATCACGTGGATATGCCAAGGGTTCTATGAAGCTTTCTCCTGAAGAAAACTAAAACTCATCATTCTTCAAGATATGTTTGACCTGCGCGGTGAGATCTTGTTACTGGGAATGCTAGCTTTGAGCTTTGATAGCGATGATTTTCCGCATCCAGATGGAACTCCGCACCTTATAGCCCGGAACCCGCGAGGCTACGGCACCTTTTCCCTTGCTGACTGCGGAGAATAATCTATCACCGCTTTCAGTGGAGCGATGAAACAATGCTGCCAGCCCCAATTGCGTGTTGTTACCAAACAAGTTCTTCGAGTAGAACACTCTGACAGATGCTCTACTACAATATAATTCCCAGACGGGGGCTAGCAATCCGCTAGCTAAAACCCTTGCTGTCGCCCCTTTTCAATGGAGCTTACTATGTATAGCTCCTCCCACTGTTTGTCAAGTTGATTCTGCGTGTCTGGGTTAATATAATGAATGACTGAAAGCATGAAGAGCTATGGTTGCTTTCAGCTTTCTCTAGCTTATATATTAAACTATTTGACTGCTGTATCACCGAACAGCGACTTCTTTCTCCCCACAATGCACTCTTTACTTATGTTCTTTATATTGTATCATTTGACTGCTACTACGGAGTACAGCATAGAGCAGTGATTTCTTTCGAATTTCGACACTCATTAATTTTCGTTATCTTCTTAGCCTTCTTTCCTTAACACTTCTTTCGCTTCTGAGCGGCGAATTATTTCCCCCACAGAAATGGGCGCCACCATTACGAATGACAAGCTGGTTCCAGCAATCGGAGACCAGGGAATTGACGGAAACATGAGTATTCTAAGTTTTAACAACTCTGAACTCGCTGACGAAGGGGATGTCGAACTTCTCGGTCAGTGATTCCTGACTTCTTTTGATTTTTTTTGTAGTTATCATACTAACAACTACTCCGTCGACTACTATTTAGCGACAATGGGTTATAAACAGGAACTTCGACGTCAATATTCCTCAATTCATATGTTTGCCATTGCTTTTAGCGTTATGGGCCTTTTACCATCAATTGCAGCATCCTTGACTTTCTCACTGCCCGCGGGGCCTGCTGGTATGGTTTGGGTATGTTTACTGTCACATTTAAACCGATGGTGAAGTGTGAAATGCGCCAACTGACTAGATTTCCTGGAATTTCTAGGGTTGGCTTACTGCAAGCGGCTTTATTTTTATCGTTGGTCTCGCAATAGTAGGTATAATATGATATCATAATATGACTCTCTTTTATGACTCTCTAATAACATTTTCTTCCAGGCTGATCTCGCATCTTCACTCCCTACATCTGGCGGGTTGTACTGGTGGACGCATTATTTTGCAAAAGAGAAGTTTAAAAACCCTCTAAGCTTTCTTGTCGGATATAGCGGTACAATTGGGCTTGTTGGAGGAACATGTTCAGTTGACTGTATGTATATTTTCCCAATTCCACTGTCAGCACATCGATTTGGCGCTGACCTCAGAACCCTCAATCTCTTGCTCTTCTATTGACTTTTTCACAGATGGATTTGCTTTGATGATCTTATCAATTCCATCCATTGCTTCAAACGGTGAATGGACTGCGTCCTCTCCTGTTGTATTTGGAGTCTTTGTAGGGTGTGTAATCACCCATGCAATTCTGGCAACATTTGCTGCCAAGAACATGCACAAGATTCAGACTGCCTTTATTGTGGCTAATGTGTTGCTGGTTATGGCCACTGTGATTGCATTACCAATTGGTAAATCCAGAACTGAGCAAGGTCTGAACTCTAAGGATTATGTGTTTTTCCATCAGGATAATTTTACCACTTGGCCCTCTGGCTGGACATTCATGCTTGCTTGGTTGTCTCCTATCTGGTCAATTGGAGGTGTTGATTCCTGTGTCTATATGAGTGAAGAGGCAATGGATGCACCAAAGGCAGTTCCTCGCGGTATCTTAGGATCTATTGCAGCGTGCTGGGTTCTTGGGTTTATCTCCATCTGTGTAATTGCAGCATGTATGAATCCAGACATTGGAAGTCTATTACAGAGTCCTTTTGGACAACCAATGGCCCAGGTATGTGCTTCTATTGATAGTTGGACAGACTTCTATGTGCTCTCTCGCTAACTATACTAGATTTATTATGATGCTCTCGGAAAAAGCGGCGCGATTGCTTTTATGGTGCTTATGGCATGCCTGCAGTATTTCATGGGATTGAGTCTGGTAAGGCTTCTAGAGCTGTAGCCCAACGAAATAAACAATTACGTTACTAATTGGACAATAATGTAGCTCCTGGCTGCATCCCGACAAAGTTGGGCATTCGCTCGAGACGGCGCACTCCCCTTCTCCACTTTTTTCCGCGTCGTTAGTACGAGAATTCATTTTCAACCTGTGCGAACTGTCTGGGGGTGTGCGGGATCCGCGATCGCCGTTGGTCTCCTCTGCTTGATCCATCCCACCGCTGCAAAAGCCCTCTTTTCTCTTGGTGTCGCCGCAAATGACCTAGCCTGGGCCATAGCGATTTTTTGCCGTGTTGCTTGGGGTCGAAAGAAATTCACACCAGGCCCATTTTACACTGGCCGACTGAGCACACCGATTGCTATCGCCGCGCTGATCTATCTGGCATTCGCCATCTCGCTCTGCATGTTCCCCACACAAGGGCCACACCCAACAGGTACGCGATCCCAATGGTTTCTAATACACCTCAAATGTTGATTTCTCAATTTCCTTATTTGGTGATCCGAGGCTAACCTAAGAAATAATTAACAGCGGAAACCATGAACTACACTGTGGTGGTCAACGTAACTATTTGGGGAGGTGCTCTGTTATATTATTTCCTCTTCGCAAGAAAATGGTTCAATGGACCCAAGACGACTTTGAATTAAATGCAGGATTATGTCCTCCACAAAAAGAAAATGAACGGGAAACCTGACGCCCCCTGCGATGCTCGGGAGTTGACATAACACATATTGTTCTCCCAATCGAATCTGCCCACTACAGAGTCAGTTGCCGGACAGCTAGACAGAGAGGGTTAAGGTCCTCTCAACACACCACCTATGAGAAGATTGATTTTCTGCGAAACGTCGCGGAACTACCACCGTGTTGTTGAATACAGGCTACATAACAGCTACAGTTTGTTGACACATCCCAGCATGGCTACCCACAAGAATGGAGTCATGTCTGCTGGCGGTAGTGAGGGGCTTTGGTAGAAATGGTTTGTCTTATCGGGTGCGGGCACCCACTGAATCTCTACTTAAAAGAAGTGGAGATTTCGGGCCGCTGAATTAGATTTTGATTTATAGGCGCTTTGCAGCAAAGGTATTAGAAATATTGGGGCGTATGGTTTATTTAATTGATATTTATTTGTGTATATAGTTCTCTTAACAGTGTTCTATACATCTTTTTAATATTTATAGACTTTGCTAGATTTCTTCTAAAGTTATTCACTGTAGCTATCTCTTTTATTAATACTACTAATAAATATTCAAAGCCAACATGGATGAGAGGGGCAGATTTGAAGCTGAAGTTGCCTAACTACAGTTACTCTTTACGATGACTCATGTTCTGTAGTTTGAATAAGGGAACTAACTTACTTCAGTTCTGATCAATCGGAGAGCAGTGATTGATCAAACTTTTTGCCTTTCTCTTCCATTGCTTCGCTCGCTCTTCCGCAATAATGACCGGGTCATTCATTAATCACTATAGTTTTCTAGCCGCTCGGCTCACCGAAGGATCGAATTAGGGCACCGCTGACCACGTGCTCCCGGCTATATAACCTGGAATCAACCCCTCCAACCTCAAGCCGAGTACTTGCATGTATCTTCTTCCCCCGTCAGACGTCTGACAAACCTCAATTCCAGCTCAGCCATCTTCCGAGATAGCTATACTTCTCTTTCAATCAATTCTCCCTCCTCGCCTCTAGCTTCCGAACAACTTTTCATCTGGGTACGGCTCAGCATGGATAGCGACATCGTCCTCTCTTGCAATGGAGTTGCCATATGGTCAAGGTATTGTTGAAAAAACATGCGTGCACATGGCAGGTGTTCGACCAGTTCCATGTTCCACTCAGCGCCCGGTTATCATTTATATTCTCTTCTCTAAAAGCTTGTGCCCTTGTGGATATAATATATGCATATCTGGCCACACTTTTTTTTGAATTGGACTGGGCTTTACACGCTGGTGGGGCATGGAGCTGGTCGTTCTGAGATTATACTGTCTGAACTTGATCTGGGTAATTCCAGCGAAAGGACATGTTACGCTTAATATCCAAGGCTCCCTATTTGTGTTGGTGTTGTTGATATGCTGACTCTGGCAGTGACACTCAATTGTTGAACTTACATCGTTCCTGTTGCCATCATGTCTACCGATAAGATTACTTTCTTGACCAATTGGTATGTTTTTTGAGCTCGATGATGGGCATGCTTAATATATCCAGCTGCAGCCAGCTACATCGAACTCCAGTTTTCTGAGAATAGTTTAATTGAATGATGTGAAGGCATGCGACGCCGTATCATATCCCCCTTTACCTCGCGCAATCCAAGGGCTATTTCAAGGATGAGGGCATCAAAGTGGCCCTTCTTGAGCCTAATGACCCGTCTGACGTGACCGAGATCATTGGGAGTGGAAAGGTTGACATGGGCTTCAAAGCCATGATCCATACCCTCGCTGTTAGTGCACACTCATTTTACTACATGTAATGAAAACAGAGATGCTCATGGATTCATCTAGGCGAAAGCTCGCAACTTCCCAGTTGTTTCCGTCGGATCGCTGCTGGACGAGCCTTTTACCGGTATTGTCTACTTGAAGGACAGCGGTATTACCACTGACTTCCGCACCCTCAAAGGGAAGCGGATTGGATACGTTGGCGAATTCGGAAAGGTCCGGCCTCCCCCTGTCTAACAGTGTAATGATAGGTCGCTCACCTGAAATTTTCCAGATCCAAATCGATGAACTTACCAAATACTACAACATGTCCGCATCTGACTACACCGCCGTCCGCTGCGGCATGAACATCAGCAAGGCCATCAAGCGCGGCGAGATCGACGCGGGCATCGGCCTCGAGAATGTACAAATGGTCGAGTTGGAGGAATGGCTGGCTGAGCAGAATCGCCCCCGTTCCGACGTCCAGATGCTCCGCATCGACCAGCTCGCCGAGCTCGGTTGTTGCTGCTTCTGCTCCATCCTGTACATCGGCAACGAGACTTTTATTTCTCAGAATCCGGAGAAAGTCTCCAAGTTCCTCAAGGCCGTCAAAAAGGCAACGGATTACGTCCTCGCGAACCCGAAGGAGGCCTATGAAGAGTACGTGGACGTCAAACCCATCATGGGCACGCCAGTCAACCGCAAGATTTTCGAACGCTCCTTCGCCTACTTCAGTAAGGATTTGAAGAACGTCCAGCGAGACTGGGTCAAAGTGACCAACTACGGCAAACGGCTCGATATCCTGGATGCCAGCTTCGAACCAAACTACACGAATAAGTTCTTGAGTTGGGAACTTGAGCCTGAGTCTGGCGATCCGACGGGCGACCAGTGTCGGATGGCAGACTTGCAGCGTAAGGTTGCTGCTGAGGGTGGGTTCCGACGGCTTGAGGCCGCTGCGGTCAAGGCTTGAAGCTCACTTCAGACCCTCTCGATCAACATGGGTTATTAGGGATCCCCGTCCGCCGAATATGTTTTATACAATCCAATTGTGGTGGCATCGTTACTTGCGCAGGCGTTGCGTTCCTGCACACAAAAAATTCCATTAGGAAAAAGTTGATTGAATGGCTCCGAAGCAGTTTGTTAATTTACCACAAGCCAGAAATGCTCCCCAACTAAATGACACTCTTTTACACAAGAAAAAGACTTAGTATGAAAATCAAATATTGTCCGACCTTTCATTGAGCAACGGTGGTTTCCATGCATCACCAAACATATCCATACATAATATCATACATCATACACGCGTCACACATGATTCAACATATATCCAAACCGACAACACAACCTGCCCCACCCCCCCTAACCATAATAAATAACCCCACTAAATACAAATCAATCACTCCTCATAATCACGGCCATCCCCCCTCCCCCCGGCCCCTTCACCCTCCCATGCCAGGCTCGAACTTGCGCACGAAGCCTCTCCGCTGCGGTGCGCAGCCTCGCGTGTCCGCTCACCCCCCTCTAATTTGCCGCCGGATTCCTGGCCGCCCATGGAGGAGAGATCTCATGGTGTTCAGTGGAGGATAGCGTATTATATTAGCCATTATTGTATGAGCAATCTAATATGTGGGTAGGTATAGTTGGGGGAAAGGGGGGGAAAAAGAAGACGAAACTTGCATAGCTGGATCCATGTTGGCGAAGCCGTTGGCATGGGTGGACTGGCAGCCCTTTCTGGCGACTTCCTCGACCTCCTCCTGGGGACGGTTGGCAAAGTTGCCTGGGTATGGTTTCGGAGGTCATTTTTGCTAGGTTTTTCTTTTTGTGAGGTTGTAGACGTAGCGTAGTAGAAGTATTTAGGTTATTTTTGTTTGGTTCTGCAGCAGCTACCTAGGAGGACTTTTTTTTGAATGTTCTGTATTCTATAAGGTAGGTTTGGAGTTTACAACTGCTCTCCAAGAAGTATCTCGTTCATTAAAGTAAAATCAGAAATGGAAAGGCAACAAAACTCCATTGAATAGGGAGGGGTATGGGGCCAGTACGGAGTAGATGTTGCGAAGTGCTAACAACAATAACAATAATAAGTTCAAACAACGACGACATTATTTTTCCAGAACATAGCTACTTAGATAGGTAGCTAACAGAACACATCCACAACCGACATTTCTAGTCGTCCTTCTTCAGATCTTTGCACGTTCCAGTTTTCTCCTTGGGGAGTTGCTAGCAGTTTCGTAAAGGAGTCAGCTTGTTCAAAAGCTTTCCCCAAAAGCTTGAAGGGCACGGGGGGTATGGAACAAACGAACCTCGCAGTACCCGCTCTCGCAGATCCCCATACTCCCATCTTCCTTGCAGTCCTTTCCATTAGGGAGCTTGAATGAGGTTAGCTCGCGCTGTTGGTTGTAATAATAAGCATGGACGGGTCTAATATTCATACCAAAGTCTGTGCACTGATAGCAGTGCCGATGAGGGCAAGAGTAGCAAGGAGAGTGAACTTCATGGGTACTGAGAGGAATTGGAAATGGAGAAGGATGATATAACGGTGCGGCGAGGTAGATATTGAATTGAAAGATGGTTTTCGTCAGCTCCTGGGGGGGGGGGGTGAAAGGATGCTGGCGACGTAGATATTTATATGAGCAGAGCGCAGCAGCTGCGGAGGCAGCTATTTATTACTGTTGCTTCGTGCATGCGGGCATAGTAGTGCAAATCATCCGCATTTCGCATGAGCGAGGTAATAATAGAGTGCGTTGATCATGATCAATGGTATTTTCATTGAATTGCACTGCATCAAAAGCAGTCCTCTTTTTGGCCAAAGGTGTTGTTTCCTTCCCGCGACTTGGGTCCTTGAAACGCGACCGCTTGGGTTTGCTATAGGCATATTTATAGCCAACCGCCTTTGTTCAACGGTCTAAATATATTTCCCAACAGTCAGATATTGACTTGGTCATCCTGTTTCATTCCGCTGCATGTGTATCTCGTCAACACGGTGTCACAAATAAATCTGGCGCATCATTATGCAAGCTTCGCGCGAAGCTTGTCTCTACAAAAGCTCTCCAGGATAGAAAAAACTATCGATTTTAGACCAAGGGGGGGTGAGCATGCTGGGAGATCCGTAGTAAATTCAAAAAATTTTGTTGCTAATAAAAACAGTGAAAATGAAGCTGTTGTTGTCCATTTTGTGCTGTAACTATATTAATAAGCTGCGCTATAAATTTTGCTTCCTTTGTGAGCATGTAACTAACTAACTTAACTAACCAGAATACACTAAACATTGTCCTTTCTTCAATACATTAGTAGTTACACGGGAGATGAAGAATAAGTACTGTTTTTTAATCAACTATACTTTCAATCCTATCATTTTATAATGAATTGAAGCAAAGAATGAATCTGTCAACTAGACTCTTTGAGTTATTCATCAATAAACTGCGTATAGTCTCAACCACAGTCAGGCTAGTGTATGCTGGTCATATGTCAAAAAGGATACAAATTTATGGCGCAAGCACTGGAGCAAGCAACAAAGAGATTAAGACCTTCGGGGCCACAGCGAAAAGAGAAGGATGCCTTAGTTAACTCCTTCTAATTTGCGAATGAGTTCGCTCGAAATGAAAAGAGCGGGTTGCAGGCCCTTGAGATGCGGGAGAGAAGGTTTGTTGTTTGTTGAGGACATCAAAGCTATCAATTTGTGTGGTTCCTGACCGTCAGGGATGGACACAGAATACGATAATCCGTAACTACACTTTGCTCTCAAAAACCAGCTTTGGTATTGGTGTGTTTTGATGATCTGATGCGTGGCAGTCATGGCTTGTATCTCCAGTTGCGTGGAAACTAACGCGGTGTCGCAGACTCGCAGCTGGTGACACAGTCCCTTTGTGTCCTGCTGTGTACGGAGTTCTCCAGGGAAATAACGTTAACTAGGAATTGTAATCGGACACGGTGTGTGTTAGATGACTCCAGCTAGTATGTCTCAAGGCCTCTGTTGCTCGTATATAGCCTTCGACCACGCACACAGCAATCGCTGATTGCACCTACCAACTCGTGAAGAGCATTCATGCTCCCCATCATCCTCTGTTGGGAAATATAAGTATAGCTGCGGATGCGAGGCCATAAACACAGAAGTTAATCTGTATCTGAGTGTCTTTTGTGACCCTGCTTCACCAAAATTTAACTGCCAACCCGGACTGTAACACAGTGTCTCAGCACGGCGATATTGAAGGTCTACCCTTTCCCCCCTCCCCCTGGAGCGCCCACATCTTAAGTATGGTAGTGATTTCTTTCTATCGCAAGATCATCAAAAGACCATACTGCCCCGAAGAATCACGAGCGTATCTCTCGGTGCACTGACACGCTTTCCTGCGCAGCCTAGACCCCGTCTTGCTATCCTATCTCTAGCCTCTTCTCATCCGATGACGGAAGAAGATAGAATTGAACCCAAAGATGGAAAGAAAACCCCCTCCCACTGCTTGCCGTGACTCTTTAATGTCATGATGCTGGTACCGCGACGCCCCCAGAGTTCTTGAGTCGAGGGTCCCTGTCCCGCAACCCAGTCGCCGTAAACTCGGTAGTGCCACTGTATGTAGGTGGGGGGCTCTTCCAACCCCATAGCCGAACACTCCACGTCACCAGCCGAGAGGAAGAATTAATTGTGCATTCAGGGGACGGGGGGGTAAGTAAACATCTCAGACCCGAGCGGTTGTGGCCTTCTGTCAATACTCAGTGGAATTGTTTGCAGATAGATTCGACCTGTTGACAGATCGCGAATCTACCTAGGTTGGTTGGAAGGGTAGGTCTCGAGCTTCAATGAAATCAAAGTTTTGCCAGTTATCTCTTAGAACCTATTTAATTCGATTGACTTGATATTTGGCAGGCTGTTATTCGGCGCCTTCTGTGCCACTGTTTTATGGTGAATCATTTGGATTACACTTTTCCAAATTCAAGATATTTGATAATTCCTCCCATCCCTGGTGAGTTTCATCATATTGACATCGGAGGTTTAGCACCTTAATCGTGTTTTCCTGAATATCGATCGGCAACCCCCATGGGGAGACCTAGGAGCTGACATCAATGTGACGAAATATCTAAACGATATTTTCAAAACGTCACGCTGCTAGCAAATCCGATGCGCTTGAGTTTTGCCTTCGGGATATTGTAGCTGGAAGAAGGTAAAACTGGATAATGCCTCCCTGCTCACTACCTTACCCAGCCTTCAAAATCATGCGCGGTCACTGCAAATCCTCCCTGACGTGGTATCGCACCATGGTCGGTAATCTCAATGTCGATGACCAGACACAGGCGCAGGACCCGAAGCTCAACCAGCCCGTGTTGTTGCTGACCTCGCAACCGGGACCGCTGAATCTACCGGGCGCCGCCGATATGATGAGTGTCAAGGAGTGTGGGCACGAAGGGGCATTGGACATAGTTGGAGGCGAGGGATGAGATCAATGAGGCTCTGTTGAGGTTTATTGAGGGGGGATAGGAAAGGTGAAAGTAGATACAGTAATGTAACGTAACTATCATATAGATTGTGTGGAAATTCCACGGCGTGCAAAGAAAAGAATTATTATACACCCTTTCCACCTTGTTCCTATAATCAGTACAGCATATCCAGATCCCAAGCAGGAAGCCCAGCTCTCACTCACTAGGATTCGCAAACTCATGGGATTGGTTATTTGTGGTATTTATGATATCAGCTAAGGAGGTTACATGCACCCCTTGATTATTTGATGGCAATCCATTATGCCTGCTCTGGAAGGACAAGACAATATTCAAGCATCCCAAACCCCATATCGAATTAGTTGCAGTTATTTTAAGCTTCCCATCGAAATGCTTATTTAACCACGGTTCCAAGGGGTTATTGGCGAAGCCCTAGTTAAGTTGCCGGACTCTAGTAGACCCTGACGAGTCCCAGGAGTTAAGTCCTTTGTTTTCCTCGACGTGAACACTAGGTGGGGTGTTGATAAATAGCGGAGCTTCATTCGGGGATGAAGATGGGATGAATATCAGAGAGCAGTTCTGGTATTTATATATAACCCCTCACTTCCTACCCCGCTGATGTTCCTATACGTATATAAATTCGGGATAACCTCCTTTCAACTTTTACATTGGAAAGAGTTTACTTTCTTCTACAACATTCAAATTTGTTTTTAAAATCATTTAAAAAGTACTGTACCAAATATACAATTCTAGTTTAAAAAAAGCACCCAATATAAAAACATCCCCAAGATGTCCCTAAAATCCAACCGCGCCCTCCCCCTCCTCAACGCCGCCGTCGCCGGCAACTACGCCGTCCCCGGAATCTGCTGCTACAACCTCGAAGGCATCCTGGCCACCGTCCGTGCCGCCGAAGCCAAACGGTCCCCAGCCATGATCCTCCTCTTCCCCTGGGCCATCGAGTACGCCAGTGGCCTCCTCGTGCATGCCGCCGCCAGCGCCGCCCGCGCCGCCTCCGTGCCCATAACGCTCCACCTGGACCACGCGCAGAGCGCCGAGATCATCAAGCGCGCGGCAGACATGCAGCCGCTGACCTTCGACAGCATCATGGTCGACATGAGCCACTACGAGAAGGCGGAGAACCTGGCGCGGACGGCGGAGCTGGTGGCGTACTGCAACGCGCGGGGGATTGCGACGGAGGCGGAGCCGGGGCGGATTGAGGGCGGGGAAGACGGGGTGGCGGATACTGTGGAGGGCGGGTTGGAGGGGCTGCTGACGACGCCGGAGGAGAGTGGGGAGTTTGTGGAGACGGGGATTGATTGGCTCGCGCCTGCATTTGGGAATGTGCATGGCGAGTATGGCCCGCGGGGGATCCGGTTGGAGTACGACCGGTTAAGGAGCATTAGGGATGCGGTGGGGGATAAGGTCAGGCTTGTGTTGCATGGCGCGGATCCGTTTACGAAAGAGATTTTTAACAAGTGTATTGAGTGCGGGGTGTCGAAGGTTAATGTCAATAAGGTGGTTAATAGGGAGTATGTGCGGGTGCAGAGCGAGAAGGCGGGAAAGGTTCCTATTACTGTCTTGCACGAGGAGGTAACGGCGGCGATGCAGAAGGCGGTGGAAGGGGTGATGGATATGTTGGAGTCGACCGGGAAGGCGTAGTTAGCGGTTTTTCCATTAATATATATATATATATATTTTTTTTTCTACTCCATAGGTATTGAATATATGGTTATGACACTGCATTTTTACAAATTGATGATTCTCCATATATGTACAGAGGTAAAGAATGGAACAGAAACAAAGAAAACAAAACAACCAACAAATTGAAAATATGTCGACAAAAGAGAGCTAAAAACCTGACGAAAAAGGAAAATAAACAAAAAAAGAACGGGCGAGAATTTTTCAGTATCCCTGCACCCTCAATGCGCGAGACAGCGAACCCAGGGCTTTTTTCCGCTCTTTTTTTATTAGGGTTAGGCCCATCATGGAAGTCGTCGGAATGCCACGGTACAGCGAACTGTAAACGAGAATGAAAGAGCTGTAGCACCAAAGATAGCAGATGGTGCCATCAAGTCCGGCGCTAGCAATTGGAGGATACAAACACAAATGACAAAATTTGAACAGAAACAGAGAGAGCTGTGCGATCCTATATCTATGCAAAGGCCATCATTTTCTTAATCTCCGCAATGGCCAAACCGGGGTTCAATCCCTTGGGGCAGGTTCTCGAGCAGTTGAGGATGGTATGGCATCTGTACACGCTCATGCTGTTGTCGAGATCAGCCTTGCGCTCCTCGGTCTTCTCATCGCGGGAGTCGATCAGCCACCGGTAAGATTGCAGCAGCAGAGCAGGGCCGAGGTATTCTTCCGAGTTCCACCAGTAGGATGGGCAGGAGGTTGAGCAGCAGGCGCACAGAATACACTCGTAGAGTCCGTCAAGTTTCTTGCGGTCAGCGGGTGATTGGCGGTGTTCACGGCCCTAGAATGAAATTGTGAGATGGTTTACTTTATAGATAGTTATATTGTGAGAGTAACAGAGATAGTGAAGCACATACGTCTGGAGATGGGGTGTCCCGCTGGAGGTAGGGTTTGATTGATTTGTATTGTTTGTAGAAATAGGTCAAATCGGGGACTAGATCTTTGACTACGTAGGTGTGGGGGAGGGGATAGATTCTCGACTCTTTGGCAGTCTCAGTAGGGATACGGCCTGTATAGTTCATAGTTCAGTATAAATCAAGGTGGTACGTGATGTGTGGAAATGAAAAGTTGGACATACATAAGCAAGCCAACGTATTAACGCCGTCAATGTTCATGGCACAGCTACCACAGATACCCTCTCTGCAACTTCTCCGGAAGGTCAAGGTCGGATCCTGCTCGTTCTTTATTCTGATTAAGGCATCCAGTACCATGGGGCCGGTCTTATTCAGGTCGAGGGTGTAGTCTTGCATGTAGGGCTTCTCGGTGGGCTTGTCCGGGTTCCATCTGTAGACCTTGAAAGTCTTGAGTCTGGGGGATTCCGATGTCGCCGGGGTCTGATCTGCGATCTTGGAGCCAGACTCGACGGTGGCATAAGATCTCGAGGCTACAGAGGGGCGGAAGAGAGGACGAGAGGCAGCGATCAGGCGGGAGGTCGGGCGTAGGGAGGCCATTTTGACGGATGTCTTTGGGGATGCCCTCCAATTGAAACGAGAGAGAAGAGTGTTGCAGATGGGATAATATGCGTAAAACGGTGTTGTAGTCGTCGTCTTATCCTTATTCCCAGTCTTCCTCCAGCTGGTTGCTGTGCTGTGTGCGAGATTAATTGAGACGTCGTCGGTGATGCTCCGTGGTGTTTGGAGGATGATTCTCGCGCGGTGTCTTTCTCTTCTTCGCCGACCTCGGGAAGCGGGCGGGCCCGGTTATGTCAGCAGAAGGAACTAGCCAATCATGGGACAGTGATTACCACATCGAACTTCATCTTGAAATTCTTATTGATATTTATGTTTATGCTGCGTATGCTAATTAATATAAGTTGGTTAGACCGCTGACTGCCCTAACTGGCTATCACTACTCTGCTTATTCCTAGCATCCCATAGAGTAGTCCTCAAAAGATATCTATTATCCGCAGCTCCAACTCCCAATATGAAAGTCACGTGATATAACGCCCACCAACAAGCCCTAATTTCCTATTCCGGCCACGCTCAGCGTGCCAACCTCCTTAACTGTCATCCATGTTGGCTTTATACGAGCCGCCAGGGGATAACAGGACGGACTAACCAGATACATTTATATCTTTGCAGGCCGTGTCAGATCGAGACGCTGCCGTCTCTACCCCTCTCACCACGGTGTGGACCATGGCCTGACACCCGGCTTCATCCTGAGAATTGATTCATTTCATTCTCCTGTCACTCACTAAACTTAACGCGGCAGCCCATCCATCCATACACTCCTTCTAGACAGATCGCGGGAACATCCTGCTTAACTCCAGTGTCTTCATTCAGCCCCTGACTCTCGGCGCAGAGGGAGATATTCTATCCGAAGTATCACCGCCTACCAGCAGGAATCGGGCCAGATAGCCCTGTGCTGCTCGCGTTGACATTTAGATACCCTGGAATCTGATATATGGCCACCACCCCCGCCTCATTTGGCCTACTTAATCCTTTGCGCACGACGGGTTATCATGAATAAGAAAAAAATTTCAATTGCCGTTCCTGACACACTCGTTTAACTACATATCCGAAGGAAAAAAGCTCAGAAGAAATCGCTTCGGAAAAGTATATACATATAGGTATATATCTATAATGCCCCCATCAATCAGCACTATCTCCTCCCTCACCCGCACAATCTCCTCCACGAGCATCCACAGCCTTAAGGATGAAGAACCCGCCCGCCCTCACCCTCTCCGTTCCTCGCCCACGGGCCCACAACCCGAACACACCGCGATAAAACACGTCAAATCCGGTTCCGCGCAAATCTCCGTCTCCGAAATCCCCAAACGGAAGCCTGTCGCCTTCCCCGCCACTACCACGACGACAACTGTAACAGCAATACCATACCAAGACTCCCCATCCGCGGAGAACGGCGCCGGCGCGGCCTCCACGAACCCACCCTGGCTGTCCTTCATCGCCAAACTGAAACGTCCATTCCCTAAACTAACGCCAACCGCAGCATGGCCGACACGGCAGCCAGCATCAGAACCCGCAACAGCACCCGCAGCGACAAAGTCAGCAGCAAAGTCAGCAGCAACGTCAACATCAACGTCAGCAGCGGCAGCATCACATCTCGACAATATAAAAGCAAAGCTCCCCTTCCAGTCCAATAAAAAGAAACAGCGCATCTTCCTCTTCGCAATCGGCGGCATAATCCTGCTCCATCTTATCCTCGTAATCGGACTTGCAGCAGGGCTTTCTGCACGGAAGAACAAGGGCCAGGGGTACGGCGACCTGCCGCTACCCAGCGCCCATGGCGGGCCGTATACTGGTGATTTAACCTATTACGACCCAGGGCTGGGTGCGTGTGGGATTGAGAGTGCGGCTGGGGAGCCGGTGTGCGCTGTGTCGCAGTATTTGTATGATGCGGTGGCTGTGGGGACGAATCCGAATGCGAATCCACTGTGTGGGAAGAGGGTGCGGTTGAAGAGGGCGGGGAGGAGTGTGGATGTTACTGTTGTGGATCGATGTAAGTATTTATTATGTTGTCTTACGAGCCAGGGTTGTTCGTTACGTTGTATGGTGATATGTGCTGACTATACGATATTTTTGCCGTAGGCGTTGGATGCCAGCCGAATGATATCGACGTCTCGCTGAGCGTTTTCACGCAGCTGGCCTTGGAGGAGCAGGGGCGTGTCGATGTGCAGTGGGCGTGGTTGGAGGAGACACCTCTCCAACATCTGCGGGGATAGGTTGGTAGCTAAGTCCATCTCCGTCATGGGAGGTGGTATACTCCCTCCCTTCTGGATTTTGGAAATGCGAACTGGAATTTTGATTTTGATTTTGATTTTGATTTTGATTTTGATTTTGATTTTGATTTTATTTCTTGATTTTGATTTATGAAACTGGTGTTTCATGTTTCATCGTTTCGTTTCGTTTCGTTTGATTTGGGTGATTGAACGGATTACGGTTCCTTGCTATATTGTTTTTGGTGTTTATTTACCCCCCTTGCACTCAACCCAATCTTTTCTTGAACTCCTCAGAGTTTCCAGCCCTTGACGGGTAATTTGGGAATATTCTTCTATCTTGTCGATATCGAATCCATTTAAATTGAACGATACGCCATTTACGTGCACTTCATATATCTCTATTTATTTTCTTTTATGCAATGCCCACTTCCAGAGAAAAGGGTCTGTTAACCTCCAAAAATATTATCTTGCCATGATATGACATGAATGAAATAATATTCATTTCCCTTCCCCCACTACTCACAATATTAGATCCCATATGCCAAATCAATAATCGGGGAATTCCGCCTCAACCTCATCCCTCCACGCCCTAAGTCCACCCCGGATATCGCCCACCCACCTCTCACCTCCCCTATCAACACCCAGCTCTTTCAGCTTTCGCACCGCCACCTGGGAATCATTCCCCAATCTGCACACGACATGGATCGGCCTGGTGGGGTTCGCGTCGAGGAGAGATGAAGGGTACCAGGATGGGAGAGTTGTTGTCGCTTTGTTTGAAGTTGGGTGTGTGCCATTAGCCGCTGATTCAGCCGTGGAGTTCGAGTTCGATTGCACCGTGGAGGAAGAGGAAGAAGACGAGGACGACGACAAGATCAGCGACATGGGGATATTAACGCTCCCCTCCAACGCGCCCAGGCCAAACTGCACTGCCTCCCGGACATCAATTAAGATCGGCTCCTCCCGCTCCACCTTCACCTCCTCCTCCGCCTCCGCCTCCGCCTGCAACTGCTCTCGATACCGCCTCCAATACTCCCGAGCCGATATCCGCTCCTCAACCCCCAACAGTGCCTGTGGACCCACCACCCCGCCACAGAACTGCACGTAATCCATCAACCCACTGCGCAGTGAGTCCAGTGTAATCGTCCCCGCCGTTGGCGAACATGCCGCGCAGTTCCGCCGGCGCGGGCGCAGGCGTATGCTGCGGAAGGGTGGGTTGGAGAAGGCGGAGAAGAGATGGAGGGTTGGTGGGGTTGTTGGGGTTGCGGTTGTTGTTGTTGTTTGTGTGAGGATGCGGATCGTCTCGAGTGCTTGGAGGACGCCCATGAGCCCGACGACGGGGCCGATGATGCCGCCGTCGGCGCAGCTAGTAACGCTAGCGGCGGGAGGGGGTTTAGGGAAGACGCAGCGATAGCATGGTCCTCCGATGGTGGTGGTAGACGGAGAATTGTTAGTTGACGAGGCGGATGGCTTTTCTGCTGGCTTTTGGGGCGGGTAGTTGAGGACCATTAGCTGGCCTTCGGTGCGGAGGGCGGAGGCGGAGACGAGCGGTTTCCCCAGTAAGACGGCAGTATCGGAGATCAGGTAGCGGGTTGCAGGGTTGTCGGTGCAGTCGAGAATGAGGCCGTAGGGGCTGAAGATTGAGGGGGCCTCGGCGGGCGTAAGGTGGGTGTGGTAGGGTATGTATTTGGGGTGTGGGTTTAATCTTAAGGTTTTATATGTCAGTGGGACAGTTGGATGTGTCCAGCACAGAAAACAACAAGAACGTACTCTTTCAAATATTCAATCGCGCTATCAACCTTGAACTTCCCGACATTCTTCGTCCGATGTAGCACTTGTCGATGCAAGTTCGATCCTTCAACCGTATCCCCATCTATAATGCCGATCGTCCCAACCCCAGCTCCAGCCAGGTACATCGCAGCGGGGCATCCCAGGCCACCGGCGCCAACGATAAGAACCGACGATCCACGCAGTTTTAACTGCCCTGTAACAGAAACAGTTCACAAATTAGCACCGTAACTCTCATTTCATTTTAGGAATAGTTGTTATATAGACTAGGAGGAACTTACCCTCCAGCCCGATCTGCTCAACAATCATCTGCCGCCCATAGCGTCGATACTCATCCTGCTCGAGCGGGTATCTCCGTATTCCTTCAGTAGGCTTTGTCCCCCCGTTCACAACTTCGGAACGACTTGTAGCCTCTGATGTTGCAGTCATCTCCGCGGCAATCTGCCTTTCCGTTAGCTCGAGTTCTGCTTTGAGTTGGGAGAGCTGAGCTTCGGTGGTGGCGATTTGCTGCTGGAGGAGTTCGCGGGATTGTAAAAGATTCTTCATTTCCCCCCCTTCTGTTCTTTATCATGCTTTGTCTCCTTGATGCCTGCTCAAGGGAGTTGGCTGGTTGGTAGTTGTGGTGAGAAATGAAGATTAGAGGGTGGGTGGGGTTGGTTGGGCGGGGTGAAAATTGATGGCCGGAGCTTAACTTTATTCCAATATCTTGTTATAGGGAGCGGTGAAACGATTCACTATGTAAAATAGTATATATGTGGCCTCTCAATCATTTCGCACTGTTTTTACGATGCTTTTTATTCTTTTCCATGGTGTCCTTTCACGGAAGAAATGATATATACAATATTCAAATTGCCCTAGAACTTGAAACTCTATAGAAGAAACTCCATACACCGGTTCATTCATCCTATGGACGTCCCTTGAGCTATGCGTATCCACACTATTCACCTATGTTTGCAATCTATCGCTACCACATATGAACCTTCTTAGACCTGTAGGACCGGAAACCGCCTAGTTAACTGCCCGAACAGCACCGACACCCTCGTGCCGGTATATGCTCCAGTCGAAGAGATAACAAGACATCTTAGAGCAACAATTTGCGCTCATAAATATAAAGCATTCCACCATCTATCATCCTCCCGCGGGATAAATCGCCTAAATAAAATGACATAATATACTCCTTCACGTGGGCCTGTCAGCAGCCTTATTAAACTCCGGATTCTGATCAATAGTCTGCGAAATAAAACTACGCAACGCTGCCCAGCGATTCGACGTCGAGGCATCCTCAACCTGTGGTTGTGATGGTGACTGTGCCATATGGACTGGTGTATTATTATTATTCAAGGAACCCGGGCCACCTGCCGTCGAAGGTGAAGCTGCCGCCATCTGTGCCAGATTCTTCGCAAACCGCTCCCTCTCCCTCCGATCCAGAGTCTCCTTCCTCTTCATCGCGCCGGGTTTATGTTTCAAACTCCTTTGTCGGATGATGTTCATTTGGCTCGCCATCATCTCTCTTTGTTTGTCAATAGTATCATTAGGGGTATTATTATCGTTGCCAGTGTCAGGCAGAGCATCAACCAGTGAATCGAGGTTAGCGACTAGTTTCTTCGAGGGGCGCCGCCTTTTTAGGGTCTTGGTGCGTGGCTTTTCGATCTTAGAGAGGAAGATAGAGTGCTTTATTTGGCGTTTGTCTTTTTTGTTTGTGCGCAAGGTTGATGTGTCGGAGAAGGGGCCTTGGGATGGAGTGGAGGAGGTGGTTGGTTTCCGGGCGATTTTTGCCCGGGTTGTTGTGCGCTTTTTGAGGGCGATTGGAGCCTATCAGAGTCTTGTTAGAAATAGAAACAAGCGGAGTGATTAAGCGCTGAGCTTACCATAATGCTGGAGCTATGAAGGGTGTTGGTGGTTGTCTTGTATCGATGTGATAAGCCTATTCGAGTGAGCCTCAAAAATTTTAGCGCGCGGGATCGAAATTAGAACTTGTTGCCGATAAATAAGCGCGCGTCTGCATCTCCGTTGTCTTGGCGCTCGTTTTATCTGGAATAACATATGGAAGAGAGACCAAATGACATAAAGAAATTTAAAAAGTCAATCGCGATATGCTGAATTCATTGCAGCACCCTAATTTTTCACTTAAAGAAAGCAGTCTCGGAACCTCCATCCATATCTGACCATTGAATCAGCATCATGCTAGTGTCCAAAAAGCGTTTTATGGACCATAAAATCTCAAATGTTGTTTGCAGATAAGGAAGACATAACATGCGCTGTTTCAGAGAAACGTAGAGTGTCTAATTCAGCAGATTTATCCCTACGGATAGCAGCCACTGGCTTGTGATCTGGAGGCCTGGGAACAACCACCAGCCAGAGGGGCTGGCAATGGGAACAAGCTTTCGGCCAGTGGGTTGGGGAGAATGGATAGGAACTTCACTGATTGCCCAGTGGCACATTCAGAGAGAGTGTGAGTTCATATGAGTGTGAGTTCATAATGTTCGTATCGCCTCCGATGTTTTCTCATCCCGGCTCTGGCCGTTTCCTCCGGAAGCATGTACGTAAGCCAAGACACGGATAAACTGTTGTGATCTAGATCATTGGGGGGAATAATCGTTAACATATGATACGCGTTGTTTACTCTTATTAACATGTATATCAAATAACAAACGTAGAATCGAATAGAGAGGAGTAACAACAAATTCTCATCATTCAACAATATACAATAATAATATATGCCTATCAAGTGCCAAAGTCTAGATCTGTGTCGGAATGGGTGTCACGGATGAATATGTTGAAGACATATGAATCTTATGTATCAAGATCTGCTTGTTATATTCTCCGTACACTATCTAATATATCTATTTCATACAAAAGATAGAGCTATTTATAGTAAAATATATGTGCGAGCCAAGAGAGCTAGCATAAGCGAGTATTAGATGAGCGTTGTAGTAAGCTGATGATGAGAAATATTGTAGTAATATGATGTTGATGGCATTCAGTAGTGTATAACCTCTTTTTCCTGACAATCTGTCGCTGGCGACTGCCGCCCCCGAGAGCTCTGCCCCACCTTTTCCCTTGTTGGGCAGCCTGCAGCCAATCACGGGCCGACTTTCAGCCGCAGCCCAATCAAAGGGCATTGAGACTGTTTGGGGCAATTCGGATACCTTGATCAGGTTTTCTTTACATCTTGTTCTCTTCCGTTTTGTAACCCTTCTCATCTCGATTTCCAACGCTATATATATCTCTTAGCCTCTGCCTCTATTGCTGTCTACTTCTCGTGAATGTCCTGCACCTCTCCACGGCCAATTCGTCTCACTTCCTCTACTGCATTCGCATTCTGTCGGCCAACTTCGCCGCCCCTCCGCCGCTTGCCCCAACGCTTCTTCTCCGCTGCCAGCAAAGCCATCCGTCACCGCTCTTATTTAAATACTACCTGCTCACTTCCTCCTCCTCCTCCTCTTCGCTCAACTTTTCGATATAGCCCCTTTGGTCCCAAGTTACCCGCGCGCTCATACACCATGACTTGCCTTACACCACACCTGAGGAGACATAAGGTGACCGTAATAGGGTCCGGAAATTGGTAGGCTTTCTCCCCGCGTCTCATTCTTGAAGTGATATAGATATAGTTTTCTAATCTAACATAACGCATATATGTTATAGGGGCTCTTCAATTTCTAAAATGGTCGCTGAAAACACAGCAGCTAACCCGGACATCTTCGAGCCAACGGTGCAGATGTGGGTATATGAGGAAAAAGTCGAAGTTCCCCAGTCCTCGAAACACTACAACAAGGAATTGCCCATCTGCAATGGGCTCCAAAACCTCACCGATATCATCAACCAGCTGCACGAGAACGTCAAATACCTGCCCAACATCACCCTACCAAAAAACCTCCAAGCAAACCCATCCCTCGAAGACGCTGTCAAGAATTCCACCATCCTTGTCTTCAACCTGCCCCACCAGTTTATCAATAACATCTGCGACAGACTCAAGGGCCACATCGTCCCCTACGCTCGCGGCATATCATGTATCAAGGGTGTCAACGTGACTGCTGATGATGGCGTAAGCCTCTTCTCCGAATCCATCGGCAGTAAGCTGGGTATCTACTGCGGGGCCCTCTCGGGAGCCAACATCGCCAGCGAAATCGCCAAGGAGCTCTACTCCGAAACCACGATCGCCTACGACCCGCCCCATATGGACTCCAAAGCTCCCACTCCCAAAACCCTCTCCCCCGCCCCGTCCATTGCCAACATCAATGTTCCCCTCCCGCACGTCGTGCACTTCGAACACAAGGACTCGTCTGGCCGGTTCTCCAAAGTAAAACTCCAGGCACTGCCCGTCGAATACCCGCCCATCGATCACGGGCTGATCAAAACCCTATTCCACCGCCCTTACTTCCATGTGCGTGTCATCAGTGATGTCGCAGGCGTGTCTCTAGGCGGTGCGCTGAAGAATATCGTCGCCCTAGCTGCCGGCTTCGTCGACGGGAAGGGATGGGGTGATAATGCGAAAGCAGCTATAATGCGCGTCGGGCTACTGGAGATGGTGAAGTTTGGCACGATGTTCTTTGGAGCATCGGTGAACTCGCAGACGTTTACCGAGGAGAGCTGCGGAGTTGCGGATCTGATTACGAGCTGCAATGGCGGAAGGAATCATCGGTGCGCGAAGTTGAGTATCGAAAGGGGGCTGAGTGTTGACGAAGTGGAGAAGCAAGAACTTAATGGGCAGATGTTGCAGGGGACGTTGACCTCCAAAGAGGTTAACATGTTTTTGAAGAACAAGGGGTTGGAAGGGGAGTTTCCGCTTTTCACGGCGGTTCACCGTATGTATTTTTTCTTTTCCTTCTGCCTTGCTTCTTTTCTTTCGGAGAGGATGACATGCTCACTTTGCATACTACGGAAACTAACAATGTTACAGGGATTCTGAACGGAGAGGTGCGGGTGGAGGATTTGCCCAGTCTGATTGAGCGGTAAATGGAAGGAAATTCTTTAAGCATGGAGTAAAGGGAAGTAGTACTCGCGATACCCAGTTATATGCGTTTATAGCTTATTATCATTATCATTATTATTTATTTGTTTTGATGCATATTGGGTAAATACCCCCCGCTTTGCCTTCCGAGGAGGTCGACATATACACACAAGTATACTCGAAAATTGACGACTCTCAGTTTACGTGTTACATACGGGCGGTTCGCTTAAAATGGTGGTTGGTGTTTTGTGAGGGACAGGTTGTTTTTCTTTCCTTTAAATTTCAATTATGGTATCTAGTTTTCTAGCAATAGTTAATGGCATGGAAGTGGTGGCGGGTATATAGTATACGGCATAAATAGTATATTTGAATTGCAAATAACTGAATGGATCATGTATAACTATTTGTTAGGGATCAGCCGACGTGGAAGCCGCCGCCTGACAGATGATGATGTCAGCGACAAACTCAATGACAACAGGGAACAACCAACCACCAACATCAACAACGTCCAGCAGGTCATTCCTGGCCTGGAGTTTTATAATAGATATAAAAAGAATCCCTCGCCCTGGATGCCACTTCCATCTCCCTATACCATGCGGCAGTCATCGCTCTCTTTCCTACTCCAGATACCCCTCCTATCAGCATTCCCTCTGGAAGATACATAGAGCAAACAGATAAACAATAAAAATAGCAGACTCAAGTAACCTAGATACCCTATACGCGACTTGCAAACATGTCTTCCCAAAGGCGAGTCGTTTACCTTCTGCCCCTGACGGACAGTGGCGCCCCAGATGTCCTGCGGGAGTTTATCGAGCTACCTCCACCCTCCGACCCGCCATATATCCTCCGCTTCGTCACTGATGGGAGCAGCCCCATTTGCAACCGAGGGAGTCTATGGGTTAATATCCCGAAGGAAGGGAAACGGTTTGAGAGAGATGTATTTACGGAGTATAGGTAGGCAATTTCTTTTCTATTTATGCCTACTACATCTCTATACAACCAGAGAGGCTGGAATTTGGCAGTAGATTCGAAGAATGATAATAACAACAATATTAGATTGACCCCTTCCTTAACCGATGCAGCTAAAATCGACATACCCATTACGGCTCCCGGAGCTTTCGCCTTTTACTCAACCTACAGCCCTCCCCCGTCGCTCTCAATCAGCCCCTCTTCAATCCCGCAGGAGAAGAATCAAGACCAGGTCCGCTCCAAAACACACTACCTAACCATCTCGCCCCGCGTAACCCTTAACAATGTCAACCTCCCCTTAACATCCCTTTCAATAATCACTGTCCTCTCAAAGTTCATGGGTCAGTATCCGGCAGACTGGGACAACCACCTAACCAGCATCTCCCGGCGCGGTTATAACATGGTCCACTTCACCCCGCTGATGGAACGTGGCGAGTCGAATTCGCCGTACAGCATATTTGACCCGCTAACGTTTGACACGGCCCTTTTCCCCAATGGCGAAGCTGATGTAGCGGCGTTGGTCAAACGTATGGAAGGCACCTATAACCTGCTGGCATTGACGGATGTCGTGTGGAATCACACGGCTAATAATGCTAGTTGGCTGCTGGAGCATCCGGAGGCTGGTTATAGTGTTGCCACGGCGCCATGGTTGGAGGCGGCGTTGGAGCTTGATACGGCATTGACTCGCTATTCCGAGCAACTAGGCGAGCTAGGGTTACCCGTAGAGTTTAAAACGGAGAAGGACGTGGTGGAAGTTGTACATGGGATGAAAGCGAATGTTATTGATAAGATACGGTTGTGGGAGTTTTATGCCGTGGATGTGAAGAGGGATGTAGAGAAGACGATTGAGTTGTATCTGAGTGGCGACGATCACATCCCCAAGGGTGGATTTGGGGTAGGCACTGTTGGCTCTTTGAAGGAGATTAGGGAATGGAGCTTAAAGGAAAAGGCACTTTTTATTCGGGAGAAAGGGTTGATGAATAAAGATCGGATCCTGGGTCGGTACGGCCGGACTGTCGATGCCACGGTGGGTGCGGCCTTGCTCCGGGCTCTGTATGGCCGGTATGACAAGGATTCGTCGGATGTTCCACGCATTCGAGAAGCGCTCAAGAAAATTCTGGACGAGGTCAATCTCCCGCTATTTTTGGAGTATGATAAGGACGTCCAGGAGATCTTTGACCAAGTGTTTAATCGTGTCAAGTACCAACGGCTCGATGACAATGGGCCTAAGCTGGGGCCAATTACCAAAGGGAATCCGCTCGTTGAAACATATTTCACTCACCTCCCAATCAATGAAGTTACGAAGAAACACTCTCCCAATTCGCTGGCGCTGGTTAATAACGGGTGGGTATGGAACGCAAATGCCATGCGGGACAACGCGGGTCCAGACTCTCGTGCCTATCTACGACGCGAGGTCATTGTCTGGGGTGACTGTGTCAAGCTTCGCTATGGCACATGCCCAGATGACAATCCGTTCCTATGGGATTATATGGCCCGATATACACGACTGATGGCGAAATACTTCGCCGGCTTCCGTATAGACAACTGCCACTCGACCCCTCTTGCTGTGGCGGAATACCTCCTGGATGAAGCTAGGCACGTTCGGCCGGATCTCACGGTCTTCGCGGAATTGTTTACTGGCTCAGAGGAGACGGACTATCTCTTTGCGAAGCGGCTGGGCGTTGGCGCACTGATTCGCGAGGCTATGCAGGCGTGGAATACGGCAGAGCTTAGCCGGCTTGTCCATCGGCATGGTGGGCGGCCTATTGGGAGCTTTGATATCGATCTGCCGACGGATAATTGCCCGCGAGAAGACTCTCCTGAAAGTGGCAGTAGAGATGAAATTGTCAAACATATCCGTGAGGCGTCTATCCCGGCACTGTTTATGGATTGCACGCATGACAATGAGGTACCTGCGGAGAAGCGGCAGGCAAGGGATACGTTGCCTAATGGCGCGCTAGTCGCAATGTGTGCGTCTGCGTCTGGGAGTGTTATGGGCTATGATGAGATCTATCCGAATCATTTGGATTTGGTGGCTGAGACACGTGTGTATTCTTCCGGATCCTCGGACAGGAAGGGGAAGGGAGAGGGGAAAGAAGGGCAAAGCGATATGTTGTCCGTTGTTGGGGAGGGGGGTATTGGTGGAGCGAAGAAGTTGTTGAATCAGCTACATGCGAGGATGGCTGTGGATGGATATGACGAAACCCATATTCATCATGAGGGAGAGTATATTACCGTCCATCGCGTGCAGCCGAATACACGAAAGGGTGTTTTCCTCATCGCCCATACGGCGTTTCCGGGAGGCGGGGATTCGGGTGTCACTCTGGGCCCTGTGCGGCTGGTGGGAACTAAGGCCAAGCTTCTTGGTGCATGGAAGTTGGAGGTCGATGATTCAAATGAGTCGAAAAAGTGTGTTCTCTCTGATAAGATGTATCTCAGAGGCCTACCAAGTCGGGTTCTGAGCCTGGATGGTGTGCAGGTTGAGGAGATAGGGAATGAGACGGATATTACGATTCCGAGGGAATTCCCCCCTGGTTCGATTGCCTTGTTCGAGACGTGTATCCCTGGTGCCGATCTGTCGGAGAATCTACGTGCTTTTATCACCTCTGGTGCCGACGAAGCATTTGGTAATCTTGACCTTATCGATCTTAACTTTGTCCTTTACAGGTGTGATGTGGAGGAAAGGGATTCCAGCAGCGGCAAAGATGGCGTTTATAACATCCCCAACTTCTCTCCGCTTGACTATGCTGGTTTGCAGGGGTGGTGGAGCGTGCTTGAACCTATTGTCAAATCGGATGACCTCGGCCACCCGCTATGCGATCATATTCGCAGCGGCCAGTGGGCGTTTGATTATATAGTTGGACGCATGAATAACGCAGTGACGGCATATGGGTATGACCGTCTTCGGGCTCCCGCAACATGGCTACAAGAACGCTTCGATGCGATTCGTGGTGTTCCAAATTTCCTCCTACCGAGATATTTTGCTATGATTGTCCAAACGGCCTATTACGCCTCATGGAGACGTGGCATCCATTTATTTAGCAACGTCAGGCATGGCACGGAATTCATCCACTCGCTCGCAATGGTTTCCACCCAGATGGTCGGCTATGTGAAATCAGCCTCCCTGTTTCCCACCAAACAGGTTCCTTCTCTCGCCGCCGGTTTACCACATTTCGCTACCGATTGGGCGCGGTGCTGGGGGCGTGACGTTTTCATCTCCCTTCGTGGTCTCCTACTTGTCACCGGCCGATTCGACGTCGCGAAAGAACACATCCTCGCCTTCGCGAGCGTGCTTAAGCATGGCATGATCCCCAATCTACTCGGGAGCGGTAAATTATCCCGCTATAACTCGCGTGACTCTGTCTGGTTCTTCCTCCAGGCTATCCAGGACTATACCACCATCGTTCCCGATGGGATTTCGTTGCTGGATGAGAAAGTGTCCCGTCGTTTCTTGCCGTATGATGATACTTGGTTCCCCTTTGATGATGAAAGGGCTCATAGCCAGTTCTCGACCATTGCGGAGATTATCCAGGAGGTATTCCAGCGACATGCATCCGGTATGTCGTTTCGGGAGTATAATGCCGGCCCGGAGTTGGATAGGCAGATGAGACCTGAAGGGTTCCAGATTGATATTCATGTCGACTGGAATACGGGATTTATTTTTGGTGGCAATCAGTGGAACTGTGGGACGTGGATGGATAAGATGGGCGAGAGCGAGAGGGCTGAGAACAAAGGGTATCCGGGGACACCAAGGGATGGTGCTGCGGTTGAGATTACGGGGCTTCTATACAGTGCACTACGGTGGGTGGAAAAGCTACACCGTGAGGGGCGGTATATGCATGACGGCGTTAAAATTAGCTCGAGCTCTACTGCGACGACGGAGACAATAACCTTCTCAGACTGGGCTGGCCGTATCTACGAAAATTTCAACCGTGCATACTACATTCCCCTCCACCCAGCAGACGATTCAGAGCACGATATCGACCCATCCATTGTCCACCGTCGTGGCATCTACAAGGACCTCTACAAATCCTCCAGCCCCTACCAGGACTACCAACTCCGTCCCAACTTTACCGTCGCCATGGTCGTCGCTCCAAGTCTTTTCCCACTGGAGAATGCCATACACGCACTCACCACTGCGGACACTGTCCTCCGGGGTAAAGTTGGGATGGCTACGCTCGACCCCGCTGATCTGAATTATCGCCCGTATTATAACAATGCGGAGGATTCGACGGATTTTGCCACGGCGAAGGGGAGGAATTATCACCAGGGGCCCGAGTGGGTGTGGCCATTGGGTTATTTCTTAAGGGCGCTATTGAGGTTTAAGATCTTGGGCCAGAGGTCTAGCGATGGAGAGGGTGGGGAGAAGGGGAAGGGTAGGGAGATGGAAGAGACGTTTCAGCTTGTGTCGAGTAGGTTGGAAGGGTGTAAGAGAATGATTGTTGAGAGTGGATGGAAGGGGTTGACTGAGCTGACGCATGGGGGTGGGGGGTTTTGTGCGGATTCGGTGAGATATATATTTCTTTTCCCTCATTTGTCCCAGATTTTCGTTCGATGTTGGATTGTAGTATGTGGGTAGGCTTTGTGGTGCTGATTTTCCGGGTTTTCTAGTGTCCGACCCAAGCGTGGTCTTCGGCGTGCTTATTGGATCTTTATTATGATGCAACACAGTATCAGAAAGGAACGGGATTTGACGACGAAGGATGAGGAATGGTAGAAATTGATGCCTCGGGAATTGACAGATGACGGGTGCCCTCGGATCTCAATTTTCATTGTTTGATAAATACAGTAGAAATATAAAAGATGGGAGTTTGGATTTAGAATTGTGAGGCTAGCAATGAGGGTTATGTGTATCATAACACATATAGTGATAGTTGAATAATTGAATCGTATATGGTTAGCTATCCTTTTTTAGTACTCCATCTAACTACTGTGTAGTTCTGCTCAACATGCTAAAGAATAGACAATGACGTCATATTAATGATATTATTAGGCAACGTAAGCTAACCGAATCTGGTAAGATGCTAATCATCCCGAAGCGCAACTTCCAACTTCCAACGATCCAAAAGCTAACCATTCTCAAGATCGACAACCTCTTCACCGCGCCCACGATAATAACAGCCAGGCAGCTGGATGGGTCGCGTCGATAATCCCTCTATTTCCGATGATGTGAACGGCCGCGGTTAACTTGTCCCTTTATTTGCTCTTTTTGGTATAATTCACTTCTATCCGCACGACGATAAAGTAGCGAAGGGGAGAAATAAGCAAGCAGTATATTCAAAAAGAGCTTTACTGCTTAATCTCGCGATCGGAAAGCCCGCACACGAATAAGGACGCGGGGTTAAGAACGGAAAGCCGCAGGTCGTATCACGTCTCTATCCCCGACGACGGCGACGAGATCTCTCCACCCACTTACTCCGATGTTATCCTCGCTACTATCCGCCACCGCGACTGCCACAGCCTCTTCGATCTTAGCCGTTGCGACGGGTAAAAACGATACCGGCGATGGTGGCGGAGATGGCGAGCATAAATACCAGGATCAGACGAAGGGTCAGCGCGACCTGCTAACACAGGTTATCGTCAGCTCTACCGTTGGGTTTCTAGCGTTTATGGGCTTTTGTGTACGTTTTGAGGTTTCCGTTCCTTCTGCCCTCCTCCTTTTAGTGTTTACTGATTTTAATCTTGGCGTAGATACTTCGACCGAAGTGGAGATCGCTCTACGCTGCTCGAAGAAGGCTGAGAACGGCCGCGTCGAGATTGCCTGAGCTGCCAGATACGTTGTTTGGCTGGATCCCAATCGTGCATAAGATTTCTGACGATGAGGTGCTAGCATCTGCCGGGCTGGATGCGTTTGTGGTTGGTTTTATTTCTTTACGCGGGGTACTATATTTTGGAAATACAAAAACGATGCTAATTATATGTGTTTTCCGCGCAGTTTTTATCATTTTACTCGTACGCCCTTAAGTTCCTGACAGTTGTGTTCTTTTTCACGCTTGCGGTTATTCTCCCGATCCACTATATCTATACGAATAAATATGGCTATCCCTGGGACATACCAGAGGATCATAAGGATGATTCACAAAAAACGAAAGCCGACCCGACATACCTATGGATGCATGTTGTTTTCGCCTATGTTTTTACTAGTATTGGCATAAAATTTCTTATCGACCAGACGAACAAAATCATCCAGATCCGCCAGCAGTATCTGGGTGCTCAAACAACTATGACGGATAGGACAATTCGTTTGTCGGGGATACCGCCCGAGTTACGCTCCGAGGAAAAGATAAGGGACTTCATCGAACAACTTCAGATTGGAAAGGTGGATCAGGTCATGCTATGCCAGGACTGGAGAGAACTGGATGGCCTGATGGAGGCGAGGAAAAATATTCTCCAAAAATTAGAGGAGGCATGGACTAAACATGTTGGCTATCAATGGAAGAGGCCTGACAGCAGAGCAAACGCATTACCGCTTGTTCGAACGGACACGGTGGAAGCAAGTTTCGAGTCGAGAGAGGAGAACGAGCGTTCCCGCCTGCTTTCGACCGAAGACTCTGCACGAGCGCATGTCTCGAGCTATTCCCTCAAGCGACCCACGATACGCATTTGGTACGGCCCGCTAAACATGCGGTACAAAAAAATCGACGCAATTGACTTCTACGAGGAAAAGCTGCGGCGACTAGATGAGAAAATTGAGGAGATTCGCAGCAAGGAGTGTGAACCAACACCGCTCGCCTTCGTCACTATGGAGTCCATCGCTGCCTGCCAGATGGCTGTTCAGGCTATTCTCGACCCTTGGCCCATGCAGCTCGTGGCGAACCTAGCACCCGCTCCTGCAGACGTGGTTTGGCAGAACACCTATTTGTCGCGGGGCAGTCGGATGCTCCGGGGATGGTCCATCACGTTGCTCATAGGGGTTCTCACCGTGTTCTGGTCTGTTCTCCTCATTCCCCTCGCTTACCTGCTCAACCTGGAAACCATTGAGAAAGTCCTTCCGACTCTTGCGGACTTTCTTTCTCGCCATGCCATAGCCAAATCGTTGGTACAAACTGGTCTACCTACTCTTATTCTCTCTCTATTGACAATTGCCGTTCCGTTTCTTTATAATTGTAAGTTCTGCTACACCTACTCTTTTGATATCCGCAGAACTCCCGCTAATAGCAATTATTCAGGGCTGGGCAACCTTCAAGGCATGACATCTCAAGGCGACGTCGAATTGTCTCTTATCTCGAAGAATTTCTTCTTCACCTTCTTCAATCTCTTCCTCGTCTTCACCGTCTTCGCAACAGCCTCCAATTTCTACCGCCTCTTTGAAAACCTCCGCGACGTCTTTAGAGACACAACGACTATTGCCTTGGCCCTCGCTCGTTCCCTCGAAACCCTTGCCCCGTTCTACACCAACCTAATCGTCCTCCAGGGCCTGGGCCTCTTCCCCTTCCGCCTCCTCGAATTTGGCAGCGTGTTCCTCTACCCCTTCCAACGCCTCAGCGCGTACACTCCCCGCGACTACGCTGACCTGGGCAAACCTCCAACATTCAGCTACGGCCTCGCCCTGCCACAAACAATCCTCATATTCATAATCACCGTCGTCTACAGCGTCTTTCCTAGCTCATATATCGTCTGCCTCTTTGGCCTCATCTACTTCTCCATCGGCCGCTTCATCTACAAATACCAGCTTCTCTACGCCATGGACCATCAGCAACACAGCACCGGCCGCGCATGGCCCATGATCTGCTCCCGCGTCATTCTAGGTTTTATCGTCTTCCAGCTCGCCATCATCGGTACCCTCGCTCTCCGTACTGCCGTCACCCGCTCCATCCTTGTCGTCCCCCTGCTCGCCGGAACCGTCTGGTTCTTCTACTTCTTCTCCCGCACCTACGACCCGCTCATGAAATTCATCGCGTTACGCTCCATCGACCGCTCCCGCACCGCAGTCGATCAGGACGAAACGCCTACGCCTACTTCTACAATGTCCCCGCCTTCCCAGTGGGATCGCGATGCTGTCCACCTCCGCTTCCGCGGTCGGGACCTTGCGTCCAAGCTGAAGAAGTATGTCAATCCGAATTTGATCGTGCCACTTGACGAGCCTTGGATTCCGGGACGTGCGCCCACGCTTGGGGCTACTAATGCTCTTGATGCGGGTGGGGACTTTATGGGAATTACGGATGGTAGTCACAATGGGAATGATAATAATGGTGCCCGGTTCAATGGGAATAGGAATTGGAGAAATAGGGGACAACACCTACCTTGCTAGATTTTGGGGCAGGAATTTTATATATATTCGCACCCAGGTACAAATGTACAGAATTGGACTTGGGATCGTGATGGGTTGGGTTATGATAAACGGAAGTGATGCTGATGGATCGAATAAATCTGAATCGGATTAGATCATCCTTTTTCTTTTTCTTTTTTTTATTTTGTTTTGTTTATTGATTGGACTGGTGGTGATTGCGATTGGCACAGGGTGCGCCTCCCAGCCTTCCCCTAGATAATCGCTTCTTTGTATATACATTTTTCTACATATGTGGTTTTCTGTATTCCTATTATTAATATTTCGGGTTTGGGAGACTTCCAGAGCTGACTGGGCATTGTTGGGTTTCCTTTTTCTAGATATCCCTGCTCCTGTTTTCTCCATTGGTTCTTCTTTGTTTTGCTTTCAAACGTACTTCTATTTTTATTTTTCTCTGCATCCATGATGATACCACTCTTAAGCCGCTCGCCATTTTCCTACATTTTCCTAATTCCAACTTCGATTGCACTTCCATTCTCTATTCTCTACGCATGGATCAGTTTTCATCTCCTACACACAAAAGTGTTACACTTTCAAATTCCAAACATCGGCCTACTTGTCCAACTTCAGTGAAGCGAGATAGGAGACAAGATTTGTGTTGATTGTCGTAAGTAGTACGGAGTAGTTTGTGTTATCATTATGTTCCAGTTGTACTCAAAAGTCGCCGGGACCTTCAGAGAGAAACGGATCATGCAAGTAACAGAGGTAAAATAAGGTACGAGAAATTCAAAATATTTTTTGTCTTCCCACCGTTTCAACCAGGCATATCCCCAATTTATATTTTATCTTATTTTCCTTAAGCCATTTGACCAAACCCCCTGAAAAAGACAGCGAAAATCACAACAAATTAACTCAAGGGAATATATAAAGGCGTTTTCAAAATAGACGAAAGTAGGCAAGGGAATAAACGACTTTTTCATAGACGTTTTGAGTAGTTTTCTATTATTATGCTCATGCGGCTTGTCCGCGTTCCCGCCGTTGCCGCACCGCATCCGCGAGGGTTTGTAATACGCTCTCCGTATCTTCCCAGCCAATGCAGGCATCCGTGATGCTGACTCCGTATTTTAGACCTGGTTTGCCCTGGGGGCTGACTTTTTGGTTTCCTATTGCGGATTAAAACCCACAGAAATTAGAAAAGGGTTCGTTCAGATCATAAGCTGCCAAAGGACCAGAAAAAAAAAAAGGGTAAAAGAAAGAAAAGGAACAAATATATATAGAACCCACCTTCGTTAATATTACTCTCAATCATCACCCCCATGATCGCCTCTTCACCGCCCGCAATCTGCTCCGCCAGCACAGCCGCCACCTTGGGCTGGTTGCGGTGATCCTTCAGCGAGTTGCCATGGCTGCAATCAACCATCAAGCGGGCATTCAAGCCCTTATCCGCCAACTTCGCCTTGGCCTCCGCAATGCTTGCTGCATCGTAGTTGGTTCCCTTCTTCCCACCGCGCAGGATCGCAAAGCAGTCGTCATTGCCATCCGTACCCACAATCGCCACGACGCCCGGTTTCGTCACGGAGAGGAAATGGTGCGGGTGCTTGACGGCACCGATGGCGTCGACGGCCACGTCCAGAGAGCCGTCGGTGCCATTCTTGAAGCCGACGGGGAAGGAGAGGCCGCTTGCTAACTCACGGTGCAGCTGGGACTCTGTGGTGCGGGCGCCGATGGCGCCGACGGAGAGGAGGTCAGCGAGGAACTGGGGGGAGATGGTGTCGAGCATCTCGCTAGCGATAGGCATGCCCTTGTCTGTCAGGTCAACAAAGAGCTGGCGCGAGACGCGCAGTCCCTTGTTGATCTTGAACGAGTTGTCGATGTCCGGGTCGTTGATGAGGCCCTTCCAGCCGACGGTTGTGCGGGGCTTCTCGAGGTAGGAGCGCATGACGATGAGGAGCTCGTCTTTGTGTTTCTCCTTTTGTTGGAGTAGGCGGTTGCAGTAGTCCATGGCTGCCTCTGGGTCATGGATGGAGCAGGGCCCGATGATGACGAGGAGGCGGTTGAGCGGGTCTTTGCCATTGACGACGGCGGCGGCTTCTTTGCGCGAGCTTATGACCGTCTGCTTGGAGGCAGGAGTCTGAGATATCTCATGCTGTAGGAGGTTTGGCGGGGTAAGAGGATTGTAGCCCCGAACTGTATGTGTGTGTTGTTCGTTAGCTGAGCTCTGTCATATGGAATGGCGGGGGAGAGCTGGTGCTTCGAGATATTGAACCAAGCAGTAATCAAGAGTAGTTATGAATATTGACATACTCCGCCAGTCTTCCGCATGCTCTGTGTTCCCGACATCTTTATTCTCGATATACCACTATGTCCGGTTAGTTGGGATAATTGCGTCCTGGGCGCTGCGTTGAGTCATCGTTCTCACCTGGGTAGCCATGGCGGGGCAGTTTGACAGTTCAACAGTTAAACAATCAATGGTGAGGAGATAGGTCAATTGCAACTGGCAATCATGGCAAGGTAAAAGTGAAAAGGAGGAAGTGTTGTCTAGAAGAGAGTTATTAGTTTTATTATTGTGTTGTTTCTCTATTAAATACTTCTGTATGAACTGAACTGGCGGTGATCGAATTTCTCTCCGGCACCGGCGCCTTTTATTTTTTTTTGGCTTTTAATTTTTATTTTGGAAATTTGAGTTTGCAGTCACAAAGTTCTAACATGTGATGCACGTTATAAAGATAAATGAATATAAACATATTTCTCCGTTGGCAGACGCAACCAGCAATATTGTCACATTGTTACATTTAATCCCCATTATGTTGCCTTCGCTTTTTCCGTAAGATAATAATATAAATCCATGGATTGAGTAAATTATACAGCCGACAAACAGAAAACTCCCATTTCCCCTCGGTATTGAAACTTCGTGTTCGTCCGCTGCCCATTTTGTCCAGAGCAGTTAGGCACGGAAGCAACCAAACCACGCCATCTTTAATAATAATGAGAGCGGTAACCTGGTCACTAACTCCATCGAGAAGAAGCTCTAATCGGGGTACGCTAATCATCCGCCCCGTATTCTTTCATCACAACATCAATTCGCCCTAGCAACTTCTTTCGCTTATGGACCGCTGCAGAAAGATCCTTCATGGCCGGTTGCTTTAAGAAGCTCTGTCTATCACTGATGAGACGAGCCATTATCATCTCGCAACGCTCAATCAGCTCTTCCTTGATGGGTAGCAGCCGGTTTTCGCACTCCTCAAGCTCCTCATCGTATCGCTGTTTCAGTTGCTCTACTAATCGACTCCCGCCTTGTCTGTAGGTGTCGACGACCTTGGTGATGGCTTGCTCCTCATCTAACAGGTGTCGAATGAGACGCTTTCAGAGGCAGGAGGGTTAGCAGAGACCAAGAGGGCAGAGTGTTTCCAATATTAACTTGTACTTACGCTACTAGTATCTAGCAGTATGTCTAGGCTGGTCTTTTGGGTCGCTCGCAACGCATTCTGCCACTCAGATTCCACATCTCTATACTCTTCCACCAGGGTATACGAGAGGTTTGAACTTGAGCCAGAAGAAACCTCAGCTGTGTCCCAGTATCTACTCTCCCCGTCGTATACCTCAGCCTCGGAGCTATTGATATCATGATCGAGTTCACTACTAGATTCTATAAATGGCATGATATTCGACTTCCGGGAGGTTTTTTTCATCGTCCGCACGTGTTTATGTCCTTTTTTGTTCCTCTGCGATTGCTTGTTTTGTTTTTCCTTTCGCTGTCCTCTGAGACGTCCAGCGAATGCGCTCGGAGCGCTCCGTCTCCAAAATGAATTGTCCATTAGATTGGATCGATTGCGAGCTGCAAAACTTCTTGTATTCTCACCCTGTTGCTTTAAAGGTGCGTCCCTGCGCTGAGGCGGGTTTTCGGAATTGGAACTATCATGACTCTCGTCGTTCGTTGCAAGGCCCTGGTGTTTGAGATCTACGTGGGTGCTTTCAGATTCGGAACTTGTCGATATACGATTGTTAACGGCAACATCCTCTCCTGACAAAGAAACCGAAAGCTCTGATGGGTGCGATGTCGCTGAAGTACTATCAATTGGAAGTTCGGCGTCAGGTGATATATTACTTGTGGGTCCCTTTGCACGGAACTTTCTGCGGATAGGCTGAGGGCTGCCATTCTCATCAACCCTTTGGCTCTGGCTTGGGATAGGCTGCACAGCCCGGCGTTGCGATCGAAACTCAACTTCAGTAACTTCGCAAACTGAGCTAGAATGGATGTGGGAGCCGCCGTTTTGACTACCAATATCCAACCTACGACATTCGGACGTTGGAATCAGGGACACCTCATCCATCTCGTCGATTTCGTCAATTCTATCGTCTGAACAATTTTCTAAACCATCCTTGGTAGGACGGGCGTCTTCATTATTATGATTCTCATGTGTACTGGTATCAGCTTTCGTCAAATTTCGGCCGGATGTGCCACTAGATATGGTGCACTGGTTTTTGGGCCCGTTTGAGTCGAAACCGACAATCTGTACTTTTCTAAGGGCTATTGCTGTCTCTGGGAGAGCGTCACTCTTGTTTCCTTCAACATTGTTTGGACCGTTACTCTCGGACATTAAAATACTGCGGATTTCAGTGGTAGCTGTCGGTTGACCCTGGATTTTTGGCTCTGTGGACTGTGTTTTATGCTGATCTCCTTCTGGTACACTCTGGTAAGCTCCATCGTTTGGCCTGGCGACTTTCACAGGCGCTCCGGCATTTTCCACAAGCTGGACCTTTGAGTGGTCTAGCTTGTCATGCTCATCCAGGGAAGGTCGTTGACTAACAACCGCCTGCCGTGCGATGAACTGGGAAACGTTTTTGGAAATTTCAGATACGTCCTTTCGCGCTTGACAATCCGTGCCGTTAACATTATTAACTGCTATCAAAGAGTTTGATGATAGAATGCCTGCTTTGGCCAAGGCATCGGAAAGCCTCTTTCCCCAGCTGTTCTCCCTGCATTCAACAGCCGTTTTCTGGAGCGCGTTGTCCATATTGGAAGGGGGTTCGGAATTGCGCACTTCGACTGGCCCAGCAGAGGGACTAGATCCACTTGCAGCTATATTTCTTCCCTGCAAATCCAGATTTTGATCGGCATCTTCCTCTCCAGGGAGGTGGACAGGTCGTCTATTCTCCTCATTTGCTGTGGCCTGGTTAGGCCCAAGAACTTCAGGAGATGTGACTAGATTAGAGAATTCTGGGGCTGGACGACTTGTGCTAGGGTTGACGACACCCTCGATGGAGCGTACCTCCTGCACCTGGGCATCTTCAGAGATTACAACAGGGGAGATTACAGCTATGCCCCCTGTCCAATTGCCCTGGTTAGCAGCCAATATAGACTCCTCTGGCGGACTTGATTCGATAGGATCATCAACGTCGTATGCTGCATTTTCAAATTCGTTGGCCAACGCAAGCTTCTGGTTTGCTTTTTCAGCCGCAGCTCGGCGCTCACGAGCAGATGTCAATGTTTTTGTAACTTGACGACCCGTTTTCTTTGTCTTGCTTTTAGCTGACGTTGGAGCAATATGCGGGGTCAAGACAAGGGTTTGTTCCGGCTTCTTATGCTTTTTCGATGATCGTGAGATGCTTTTTGGTTTGGAGGTTTTCGTGGGACCCTTGAGTTGGGGTGACGTTCTTTTCTGTTTCTTAGAAGAGCTTGCTGGTCGGCCTACAACATCATTCTCTACACGAAGGTCCTGGTCCCAGTCAATGGTTAGTTGGTTAGCTCTGGATTCGCTGATCCGGTTATGGGGTCGTTTGAGTTTCGAGCTGCTGGCAGTCTGATCGGGAACCTTATCTCCATTCTGCTTTTCAGATGGGTGTTTGACCGTAACATTGATTTGCTGGCCCATATTCGTCGGATTATTATTGAATGAGCCAGGGTTTGTATCATTTGGCGGGGAGTCCTCGACCAGGATGTCAGCTAATTGTTCAGAGTCAGTGGCAGGGTTGTTAGCAGCGAGAGGCGCCTCTTGAACGCCCAAACCACCCGAATCCAGACTGTTTCCCACAACTTGATCCTCCTGTCCTAGAACATTTGCAAATGAACTAGAGTCGTGAGGTTGAGGTTGAAGTTGAAGTGCTTGTCGGGCGAGGCTTGGCAGCCCAATTTGGCAGTCACCCTGCCCCTGACTAATATGCGGCTCAACAACACCCTCGCCATTGCAGGATATATTATCCTGCGTTTTGGACGGAATTACAGCGTTGGGGGCTATTCGGGGACTTGGGATTCGTTCGTGTCTGGGCGAACGACTTCCAGGCGGATTTCCAGGCTCTGGTGTCTCGCTAACCCTAGGCGGGTACGAGTCACAATATTCGCTCCCTACGGTGCCAGAACAATCCTTATTATTAATTATCCACTGCTCACCTCCTGGATGTGATTTATCCTGATCTCCTTCGTTCACGTTGCAGGACACGCTCAAATCGAGATGGGCACTGGAACCATTTATAGCTTCCTCGTCAAAGGAGAGCACCATGGCGGCGAAGGATGCCTTTCTTCTCGGATTCTGGGGTGTAGATTTACCAAAATCTAGGGGTAGAGTGATTAAATCCTTTACAACCCCCGTCTTGCACAAAAATGATTCAAGTGAGCTGCCTTGTTTTTCGTGCGAGCGGGATCTCGCAGGGTTGGAGAACCCGTTGCTAGCCCTGAATCCCCCATTGGCTCCTTCGGCGAGCCGACACTGTTGTTCAAGGGCGTCCCGAACCTCGATCCCTTGGTTCTGATTTTCAAATACCATGGAAACCTTGTCTGCCTTTTCCATCAGACCATTCGTCATATAAAAACCATTGCCGCAGAGGTACACATCTAGCGTTGCCGTTCTCTCGTGCAGTACAAGCTTGTCAATATGGCCTACACGAATTTCCATAAACTGAAAACGGTTGTCTTCAGTTATCATAACCCTGAGGAGACTAGATACCAATACTCCGATTAAGCAGTTACTGTGGCCGATATCTAATGCTCCAATATTGATAGTTTGGAGGGTATGCATCCTAAATGTCGTAATTAGTGTCGTAATAGACTAAGGATAATAGACAATCTCATTATTATTAAGCGCACCTTTGAGGCTCTGCCTTTTGCTGCGTGTCTTGACTAGATACAAAGACATTGAATTTCTCTATCCAGTGGGAGGCGATCGGGTCTCCTGAGGAAAACATGCCCAGGACTGGCTGCGGCGTGCTCGGAGGCCAAAAGATCCCGGGATCGACTTGTGAAGCAACGATAGTCTGGATAATTACACTGGCCAGCAATCGCAAAACATAGTCCGGTTCGCTCAGAACGGTCGCACCAAGTTTTCGCCTAAGGGCATGTTAATGTTAGCCCACAGAGTAGGTACTGGGTGTGTAAACATGAAGCCCTCACATATTCTCTTCGCCGCCCAATGCTAACATTCCCCCGTTGTCCTTTGATTTCCGGATCATCTCCAGTATAAGCTGACCAGTCTACCCGCACGCACGAGTTAGCATTCCGCGAGCCAGTAGCGTGCAGAAAACGCCAGCAACATACCCATTGTCTTGGTGCATCGACGTCACCACTGACAAATGTGTGTAATAGGTGCTTGAAGGCCTTTTGACCCATGAGTGATTTGCGCTGACGAG